AATGATGAGTGAAGCAAATGTACAAAAGTGCTTGACACAATGGATGGATGGATGGATGGATGGATTGTGGTAAGAGTTGTGTGAGCCCCCAATAAAATGATTAAAAAAAAGAATGACTTTTGGTAACACAGCAGAGCTGACTCTCAAAATTAGGTAGTACTATAGATGCCATATGTAAAATTCTAGAAAATGCAAATTGATCTTCAGTAACCCAGCAGAGCAGAGGTTCCTAGGGGTCGGGAAACACTGCTGAGAGGCACAGGGAACAGGAAAGTTTTAGGGGTGATGGATTTGCTCCTGTGAAGGTTTCCATGTGTATACACACGTCAGAACATGCTGCAAACTTAAGTCATGCACATTTTATTGTAGACCGTTCACGATCCAGACAAAAACAGTCAGATCAACTTTTTGAGCTTTTCTTTTTTTTATGTCATTGAATAGTGATTGAATTCAATGAATTCATTGAGTAACTTTTCTTTCAACTTTTAACCACTGTCTCCAATTTTCATTCGAAATACCGTGTTAGCACGGTTGTGTTTCTAAGCCAAGCAAGTCCCAAGCCTTAGGAGTTCTGTCAGTTTGTAGTCAACTCAGCTCACTGCCATGCAGTCGGTTCTGACTTGGAGCGTGCTGGTAGTGGAGTAGGTTATACCAGGGGATACTGCCCCCCCCCCCCAAGAAAACAAACAACAAAAAAACGGGGAAAATACTCAGCTGGGCGGGGCTCTCGTCATACTCATTTCCCCCACTAGGTGAGCCTCAAGTAACCCACTCTGATTTAGTGCACTCAGTGGCATTGCCTGGGAAGGGTCTCTCTGGTCATAATGAATTTTTTTCATAAAAGCCATGTTATTGCTACCTCATTTTTGTGATGGCCGATTTAAGAGAACAGCGTGTGGCTGTGGAATTTTGTGTTCTGCTGGGGGGGGAGGGGACGCAGAAACTGTTGTGATGTTGAACACAGCTCAAAAGGACAGCGCTATGGGAAAAACTCAAGTGTACGAGTGGTTCTCTCCTTTCAAAAAGATGAAATGTCGATTGGTGACAAACCTTGTTCTGGACGCCCATCAACTTCCTGGAAGGACAAAATGTCGACAAAATCCATGCACTTGTGCTCGAAGACCAACGACGGCCGTTGACGAGATGGGGAAGTTATCTGGACTGTCTTGGGGCTCAGTTCAGCAAATTTTAATGGAAGATTTGGGAGTGAGAAGGGCCTCTATGAAATTTGAGCCTCGGGTTCTGACTGACCAGGAAAAAGTGCGTTGAATGGAAACACGCTTTGCTTTGAAAGAACAGCTCCAAAGCGACACAGACTTTGTTTGACATGGTTGCTGTTCTTACGACCTTGAAAGCAAGGTCAATCAAGCCAGTGGAAGACGCCATCATCACCTTGCCCCCAAAAGCTTGTCAAGTGAAATCAAGATCAAGATGATGCTCATTTGTTTATTTGAT